TGCAATCCAGTAAGGATGCGCAATTCAGAGGTGATTAAATCCTCCCTTTGTGACTCAGGTCTTGTAGAAGCTGCTTGGTGCCAGGATGGAGCCTTTCCAAGACATAAAGGGCTACCTATACCTACATACAACTAGTGCACAAGTAATAGAAATACCCAGACTATTTTGTGAAGTGGCTGCATTTGTTCTGTGATGCTCTTGCTTCCCTGTGTTTGTCTTCTCCTCCACCTCTCCTGGGGCCTGCTACCCTGCTAGCCCTCTGCTACGAGCTACAGCAGGGATTTCTTCTCTTCCTAACCCATGCATCCAGTGTCTGCAGCTAACCCACGCAACAGCTTCACAAACTGCTGCCGCTTTCTCATTTCCTTCACCAGGTAGTTTCTTTGCAGGGTTCTGCCTCTCAGGCCCTTCTCTGCAAGCTCTTTATAGCTGCTAAAGGTCAGTGTGGTTTTCCTTGTGACTGCAAAGGGCTCAGATCTTTCAGATCTCTTTCTCGGGTGCTCTGCTGTGTGTTGGCCACGTTTCAGAACACAGTACCTCCCCCTGGATACAGGCAGCCTTTCATGTTGAAGACTGCAGGTTTTCTTCAGCCGGAAAATTTCTTCACATTACTGTTTCACCCGAACATTTCTGACATGTAGCAGAGACGGATGGACCTCCCTTTGCGCCTGTTCAGGCAGCAGCAGCATCATGCAGTGGGCAGAGTTGGGGGACTCAACTGCACTTTCAGGCAGAGTCTGTGGCACGAGTTCCACTTTGCTGATGGTCAGTGGCTCTTCCTGCCTGTGACACCGCAATAAACCGCATTGGCCCAAAGAGATTGTGTGAAAACTTCTCTTCACGGCATGAGTCTCTTGCCAATAATTACAAGATTTTCCATTCTTTTGGGCTCTGCCAGCTCCTCAAAAGCTGCTAAGTGCAATGCAGGTGCTGCAAGTGCTAAGTGGTGGGAATGGTAGGTTGGCAATACTCTTCTATCGGACTTCGTCCTTCCTGGAAACAGATGAGGTATCTGCCTGGTGAACAAAAGCTTTGTTCTGTAATATTTTTCCAAAGACTCCCAGTTTTTTGTCATGCCGGTTTTCGCTGTTCACATTGATGCATCCATTGCAGCTACCAAGAGACACAACAAACACAACAGACTAACAAATGTGCTAATTTAAGGAGGGATATTCATGGGAAGCTCATAGGAACAGACAAAGCTGTTATTGCTCATGACGGATGTGTTTTCCTGCTTGTATTTTGTAAACGTCTTTACACTTCTTTCCATTGCCTTTAGTTTTTCGGCTGTCCCATGTAAACTCATGTAAACTGCACACAGAATACAGCAGACCTGAACTGTAATGACAAAATGTTAACTGATGTGTGATATGACCCAACAAATACCCTGCACTGCCTTGAGGAACTGTGTAGATGGGAACAGAGGATTCTTCTTTAAAAGAGACAAACTCCAAAACATGTTTGGCTTGATCTATTTTTTTTTACTGACTTAGTTACAAGCTGCCTTGCAGACATAAAGGTCTTTGCCCTTCCTGTTTGAAGATTCCCATCCTGCCCACTAGGTAGGGCTGCAAGTAAATGACACAGTCGAGACCAAGGCTTTGGTCTAAGACTAAGTGGCCTAAACAGGACGTGGAAGACGACTACTACTGAGCATGAGCTGAGAAATTGCCAAGTGTGCCAGATAAAAGAGTGAAATGGGGCAAAAGTTAAAGCTGGTGCCGTGAGGTTTCACATGGCACCATGGTCCAGGTTTCACATGTGCTTCAGGGGGAGTGATGTGAGAAACAGCCGAGCTTCACACATAACTGCTGAAGATCATTGAGCACCTTTTGAGGGACTCCTGCAAGACCAACAGCGCCCTGGTGACTGATTCAGTAACACCAGGCACGGCTGAGATTGTCTAGGTAATGCTCAGAGATGCTAAATTCAAGTGTGGAAGCAGTAAAACTGGGAGCAATGGGGGAAAAGGAAATGCAAGTGAATTGTTTGCTTGGAAGGAGATTGGGAAAAGAAAGGTCAAGAAATGGCAAAAGGGACAGACAGGCAGACAAGCGGCCCGGATCTGCAGTGCTATCCCTGGCTAGCAGGGGAACGTGCAGGCAAAGGTGATGGGACAGCCTGGTTCCACCGTGCTGGTGCTTCTGCCTTGCCCTGCAGGCACCAGGGACACGGAGGTGAGGAAAGGCCCTCGGGGTGTGAGCGCCAGGGGCCTCCCGGGCGCAGGCAGTGATCAGGGAGCGCCCAGCCCGCAGCGCCGCTGAGCTGCCGCGTCCGCGCCCCCCGCGGCCGCTGGGATCAGCGAGCGCGGAGCTGGCGTGTGGAGCTGCCACCTCCCAGGAAGGATTCCCTGGCAGAGTGACAGGAGAGCAGGCAGAGAAAGGAGAGGAGCAGCTGAGAGCAAAACAGTGAGTCTGGGCTTGAGCTGGGGCTAAGGCTCTGTCCTCACAAGCATCAGGGATCCAGGACTTAAGAGTATGAAAACTCTGCACCATCAAAACCAATTTGTTTTTTTCTGTATGGGCCTTTGAGGGGTTATTTTAAAACCACAATGATTTTTGAACTACTTTCCTCTACAGATGCTGATTTGCCGTCCGTCGGAGCTGCTGGGGACCAGCTGGGTGCTCCTTGCAGGTAAGCTGTTCAAAAGCTGGGCTCGCTGCTGATAGTGTCGAGTGGGCTCTGAGCCAGATCCTCACCTGGGGTAAACTGGGGCAGTGCTTGTGACTTCTGCAGAGTTTTGTAGTTGTACACAGGCACCTCGTCTATACAGGCTGGGTTTTTTACATGAGGCAACGTTTCCTCTCAAAAGCTGTAGACAAAAGAAAGGGCATCGCTGCTTCGCTGCCCAAAGGCTGAACAGCCAGAAGCACCAGAAAATTTATTCATGGTCTTCTAGCCTAAATTTATACTGTGATTCCAATAAGTAATATCTCATAATTTTGCACAATCATATGTGAATAATCTCATTGCAGCCTTCATATGTACACGGGGGTAGCTTGAAGTACCAATATTTTCAGGATCAGCATCTAAGGCAGGAAGGAAACCCCTTACGGTACCTGCGGTTTTTCAAATACCAGGTTATTAGTGAGCTCTGTTTGAGTATCTACAAGATGAACTTTTGATATCCTTGCAAAAGGCCAAGTTCAACTAAGGACCATCTCTTAGCACATTCTGGTGGTACTGCTGCTGTTTGCTATGTGGATAGCATGCTGCATAGTGTTCTTACAGGGGGCTGCAGTTGTAAAACCGCTTCTCCTTCCTGCACCCATCTCAGTTTTGGGAACCTCAGGGCATGTAAGTAAAAACTGGGAGCTCTTTTTCAAGGTTCCTAGCCCGAGAAAGGAAAATGATCAAACGGACTTGACTTCTTTTGAATTTTTATGCCTGTTTTCTCTCTCACCTTTGCTTCAAAATTGCTAAGAGAAATAACTGGTCAAAGCAGAAGGGACGAATTCCTCATTGTTTTCTTGAACAGCAGGAGGCAGTGTAAATGTGTGCTTATCTGGGCTGGAATTAAAACACCCTGAGGGGACAGAGTAAATCCAGTCCGCACAGCTAGTGTGTTTGTTCAGGTCTGAACCAGCTGCTCTGGGGAGGAGATAACACCGGACTCGCTTGCGGAGCATTTCTCTGGCTCTTTGCTGCAGACAACGGCATGTCTGGGGCCCAGGTGCTGGAAACACGTTTTCCCAATGCCACTTTTGGGGGAGATGTGTCTGTGGTTGCTTGGTGTTCGTCATCGCAGCAGATTCAGTTGCAATGCTCCTGCACTAGGGTCAGGCTAGAAATTGGTATGCGGAGAAAATGATTTGCAGCAAAAGTCCCAGCGTATTCACATCAGCCTTTGGGAGTCACTGGAGTCTTTGTCACAGCAAGAGAAATTAGTTTGCTGTCTGACTGGATAGTTCATAGATAAATGCCCTCTCTTTCATTTCATCTGCTCACTGCTTTCATCTCTTGGACCTCTCCTTCTTTTTTGATACTCTGCTTTACAAGGAAGGATTTTAGCAGTTATTTCTGCCCAGCTTTCCTAGAAATGGGCTAGGATGATATATGCCACGGCAGCTCTTTACAATGATCTGGGCTTGGAGATATTCAAAACTCACCTGGATGCAATTCTGCGCAACCTGCTCTAGGTAACCCTGCTTGTGCCGGGGTGTTGGACTAGATGATCTCCAGAGGTCCCTTCCAAACTCAACTATTCCCTGATTCTGCTCATTTTGAAACCCACATAGCCTGAGTCACAACAAACTCAATAGCTGCCCTGCACCCTGAGGAAACAGCTGCATCCTGGCATGCTGGGAGTGAATGGATATTTTCAGCCCCAAACAAAACCAGGAATTTGGAATGAGCCGTGGAAATTTAGTCAGGATTAGAAAGTCCCTCCATGCATAGACCAGGAAATGGCACCCAAAAACACAAATGCACACAAATAAGGTTTAGCCAGTAGCTCACAGAGGAATGTGGCCTGAACTCACAGCACTGCAGGTAGATTTCTCTAAGCAAGTTGTGCTGCAATTAGACCCTCTCCAAGACATCTCACTGCCTGGCACACGGCACACAGTAGTGGCAGGGGCCTTCTGAGAAGTTATCACCACAGATCGGGGGTGACACAACCATGCTCTTCAGCCATGCTGACTTGATCTCCCTTGTCTTCTCCTCTCCTCCCATCTAGGGCTGTTAGTGCCCATGCAATGGGCTGCAGAAACAGAAGGACCTCTGGAAAGAAAAGCTGCCACTGTGGGATCCTCGGTGCTGCTTCCTGTGCCAGATAATGTCACCCAGATACACTCTGTGCAGTGGGAGTACCTCAACGGCACTGAGTCCCACTCCATCCTCCAGCACTACAGAGGCTCACACAGCCCAACTATCTGTGCACCGTACACTGGTCGAGCTATTTTCCATCCATCCAATGGATCTCTCTTGCTGGAAGATGTACAGGAAACTGACAGTGGGATTTACAAAGTGACTATCAACCTGGAAGAAAGGGAGAGTCTCCAAATCCAACTGGAAGTCCTCAGTAAGTGGCTGCTATGGGAGGGAAGAACAAGGTGATGGATACAAACAGAACGGAGGTATTTTTTGAATGTGTATGGACCATTGGCCTGGCCAAGAGTTTAGGTGAAGAGATTTGAGCTAAGTCTATGGCAGTCATCCTGCAGGGTATCCTTGTTTTAATCTGCTATGCACCACGGAGAGTAGGTGAAGAGGCTCCAAACCTTTGCCAGGGAGGAAACTCTGTAGTGTTACCCTGAGAGACCTCCTGGGGGCTGTGGTTGTGAGAAAGAGCAGGACTCCCTCCTGCAAAGGCCTTTTGCTCTTTTTTTCTACTTCAAGTGCAAGGGACTGAAAGCCTGTCAGGATGCCGTGGGTCTGCTGCCTCACACTGGCCACCTGCAGAGCACCTCAGGCACCCCTTGCAAGGGGGACTTGGGAGAGTGGATGGAGTGAGGTCCATCAGTGTGGACTTTCTGCAGAAGCTGCAAAAAATCTCCCCCTCTGACCCTGGTGTAAGCTAAGCCCTTAGGTTGACTGATGGGCTGTTTGCTATTCACAGGTGCTATCACAGTGGTAGCAGTACATTTTAAATAACACATAGCTTTCTCCATAACATCACCCTTCGATAAAAACAAAGCAAAACGCAGAAAACAGAGCAGCCCTGTATGATGCTGTGTCTATGCTAGACACCTGCCTGCAGGACTGCCCGTGGAAGGGTACCTGTATTTGCCCTGTTACAGACTCAGGGATGCTGCAGAGAGCCTTGTGCTCCTGATTCCCACCAGCTCCCCACTGCAGATGCTCCAGGTCCTGTCTGACAGAAGTGTTGGTGTCTCTGTCTCTTTCCAGAGCCCCTCTCTCCCCCTCAGCTCCGGTGCAGTGCCCCCATGGCACAGTCCACCATCGAGGTGCTCTGTGACGTGGCTGAGGGCAAAGTGGACACCATCACCTGGAAGAAGGACGGGCAGCCCCTTCCCCCGGACAGAGGTTTCTATCTCTCTAGCAGCATCAGTGTTTTGTACCTGAGGAAAGTGCAGAAGTCGGACTGCGGTTCCTACTCCTGCAACGCCAGCAATGGGATAAGCTGGCAGGAGGCCTCCCTGAATGTGACCATTGCAGGTGATCACTGCTCGGTGTTGGTTCTGACCTGGGGCTTGTGGCATGACCTGTGTGGCTAAAAATTGCCATCAGAAAGGTGCTGCTTCCCACGAGCTGCTGAAGGAGAGCCAAAGTGACCCACTCGCACCACTCTTCCCTCTCTCCATGCCTCTCCAGGGTTCACTGGGTGATTTAACTCCATCCCTCTGCCTCTATCCCCCAAGGCTCGGCCAGCCTTCTCATGACATTATGGTCCAAGGGTGAACTCTGGGGAGCTGACAGGAACTCCCGTCCTTCTGTGGTAGGATGACTGGCAAGTTCCAGTCTTTTCTTGAGAGTGCAACCTTCCTCGGGGCTGCCTGACGCAGTGCTGCCAGCGAGGGGGGTTGGGATCTTCTTTCTGTCCTTCAGTTCCCCACATGAGGTCTTCCATCTCCCACCAGCATCATTTCCTTCATCATCTCCTGCCCTTCTGCCGGGGTGCAGGGTGCAGTCTGGCCTGAGCAGGATTGCAGTGGGAGCCTGGCTCTTCCCTCTTGAAGAAGGTCCTGTGGTCTCTCCAGACTATCCTTGTCACCATAACTAGGGTGATGGTAGGCAAGAGATATCCCAGCAGATAGTGGCCAAGGTACATGTGGCACCATCTGTCCCAGCTGGGCATTTCATGGACCAGAGCCTGCAGCAGCAAGCACTAATTTGGCCACCAGATGGCAAATAAAGCAAGTCTGTCCTGTTTACAAGGAGCACACTATGATGGTCCTACTGGTGGCCTGAATCTTGGCTCCTCTTTTCCAGGTCTCTCTCCAGCCTTACAAGATGCGCTGCGGATTGCAGTGGTTGCTGTGGTCTTCACTGTCATCTCAGGATGGGGCTTAATTTTTCCTGTCTGCCAATCAGAAAAGCAAAGGATAAGTGAGTCTGCTAGGGATGACGCTGAAAATGCTGGGAGGGAGGGTAGAAAAAGTCATCTTCCTTTGGGAAAAAATGGTAGTTAATTTTCCCCTTCCAGATGTCTCAACGTCTTGCCTCATTCTCATGTATCAGATCTGAACATGAGTAAAGAGAAAATGTTTCTTGAGCAATTTTTTTAACAGAAAACCTCTGATTTTAGTCTACTAGCATCTTCTAGACACTTTTGTTAAATGGAGTTGAATGACATTTTTATAGAAAAAGAAGTTTCCCAGAAGTATTTTTATTGCAACACTAAAGGAAATAAAAGAAGGAATGGGAGAAATAGTGATACAGGCATATGTACTATAACCCATCCAATGAGTCCTTATTTATTCAGGCTGAGTGTAGGTGCATGGTCAGGGGGTGAGTAGTGTTTGATGGGCCTGAGCCCCTGAGGGCTGCCTGGTGCCCCTGGAGCATCCCCACTGCCATCCCGAGGGGCAGGGCTCCCCTCGGACCCACATCACCTCTGCCAGCCCCGGGGTACCCCGTAGCGTCCGGGGGAGGCGGCTGCATCCCACGGGGGCAGCGGAAGGCTGGCACGGGATGTGTCACGCGTCACAGATGTCACTCCAGCGCTGCTCTGCCTGTTTAGGGGGGGAGCTGTGGCGATGGCTCAGTGCCTACACCTGCGGGCTCGTGTGCGTCTCCTCCGTCCTGGCAAGCGCCGCCTTGACCCTCTGGATGCGAGAGGAAGGTAAGAGCTGGGGGCGGTCGCGTTGTGGCGCTCTGCAGACTCCAGCCCTGACTCCTTCCACCCGTGCAGGGTGCAGCATGCAAGAGCAATCCCTGCCCTAAAAGTATACATATGGGGTAAAGACATCCTGGGAGGAATAGAGCATTAGGGTGTCTGAGTGAAACATTTGGAACGGAGTGGGTGGGGAAGGGATATGATTGACATCTATGAAATCATGACGGCGGTAATAGGGCAAACGCAGAGCTGGCATTGACCCTTGCGCTGTTTTATTTCAGGCCCATCTATTGCCTTCATAATGCCCGAGATCATCCTTATGTATGTGATTGTGGTAACATTCCTGGTCTCTGCCACCGTGACGTTCCAGCCTGAAAAGCTCATCCAGCTCAAAAGCAAAACAGGTGAGCTGCTCCACTGAGGATGGCAGGGATGGAGGTAAAATTGGCCAACGGAGAGGTTATTTTGCCAAAAATCTTGTCATTTTTTTAATGAAAATGTTATTTTTCATTCTGCTGCAATTCTGTCCCAAAGTTCTGTCAGATTGCTAGAAAGTGCCCAAAATGCAGTTTTATTGAGGGTTTTACTTCACAAAAAGCACAGCTGAGCTTTGGAGCAGTGAAAGTCAGCTGTAGATCACAAGCGGGTGCCTCTCCCCATGGACCATGGGCCAGGCCAGCTCTGCATGTGCTGCAGGTGCCCAGGACCAAACAATAACCCTGTGTTGTCTTCTTGTACTCACCAGTCCAGCACACAATGGGCTACGCTGCTCCCGGAGGGGTGCTTTCGGTGGTGCTGACTACCAGCTTCCTGATAAAGAATATCTACCATCGCCACGGTGAGAAGACATTATCTAGGGGCCTGCACTTAGATTGCCAAGGTCTGGAAAGCCCTAGCAGATTTGTCATATTGAAACTAAGACTTGTTTGTGATGCACACACTCTCTATCTCTCTTTGAGTCTGCCTCCAAAAAATCCCCCAGATGGGAGCTTTTGGAGGGATGAAAGAAGGGTCCCAGGGAAAAGTCCACATTTGCCACATGCTCTTTTGAAGCCTTTGTGAAGGGACATCTAATTCTAATCAGTTGTGTTCACTGTTTGTGCAGTGTTTGACACGGACCATTTAACTTTCTCTTTTTCTCTTTCTGGCTTGGGCTGAGTGTCGTGCCCTCGTTTTGCCTGTTTGAATGACAGAACAAGGCTGCACGGAGTTTGTGGACGTGACCATCCTGGTGGTTAGCACAGCTGTGGTGTCTGCCCTCCCAATCCTTGCAATCTTCCTGCGCTGTAAGTGCCCCTGCCCCTTAATTTCCCTGTGCCTCTGAACACCTGGTATTCAGCAGTGTAGCAGCCCTCTTTCCCTGCATAATGAAATGGCCGTGTGAATTATTTAAACTTAATTTGTCTGGCCTTTGCTAAGACCTCAGGACCCAAAGGCCCCTCAAGTTACCATTTCCCTTCTCCATGAGCTTCAGACACCATTCCCAATGCAACATCCCACACCGTCTGCATGATGCCCTCTCATACCTTTTTTCTGATGCCTGGGAACAGACTTCTTGTCTTGCAGATCATGCAACTCAACGAAGGAGTTGTCGGGAAGAGGAACGTAACTGCAGTTGGGTGGACAAGCATGGGTAAATCTCTTATCATCTTGTTCTACATTAATCTTGAGTGCCTTGAAGTGAAAGCAGAGGTGTGTATGACCTAGTTTGCCTTAAGTCACAGACCTGAAGAAAGATGTGGTCCAGCTATGCCCTTCCAGCTCCTCATTTTACTCTCATCCTGAGGGGTTGGTTCTGGTGGGGATCTCCATTCAGCAAAATGCCTGAGCATCTGCTCGATTCTCTCCAAAAGCTCTTGCTCAAGGATTAAGCACTGATCCTTT